GAGAGAGAGAGAGAGAGAGAGAGAGAGGGGAAATCGTGAGAAAGAGAAAGAGAGGAAATCGTGAGAGATATTCGTTCCTTCATCATCGCCACCACGATGATGATGATTTTGAGGACGGTATTCGTGTTTAGGATGCTCGTGTCGTGGCACATGCCAGCGACGACGACGGCTATGGTGACGGGGATTGTCATCGTTATGGCGATTATGACGACCATAATGATGATGACGATGACGGTGACGATGATGATGATGATGATGATGATGATGATGATGACGCTGACAATGACAGTGATGTTGATGACGATAATGACGTTCACGATGAAGTTGAATCAATCCTTCCACGGGAGGAAGCGACGATCGGTCGTCCGGATTTTTTTTCAAGCTTTGCTATGGGATAACGGCTGTCTTTTTTTTTACATCATCGAACTTTGTTGTCCATCCGTGTTGGAAGAGAGTCAAGCATTCGTTATGGAGTTTATTTATTTATTTTTTTCGTTTGAAATCGACGCACTTTGCTTGGTTGAAGTTTTTGTTTAATTTTTTTTGGAGGTTTTTTTTTTTTTCCTTTTTTTCCCCTCACAGAAGTGTCACGTCAATTCCTTACTTTTGTTTGTTTTGTTTTTGTCTTTGTTGTTCGGGTGTGATGTTCTCGACGATGTCATGACACTTGGGGCGTCGTATATGGATATGCAGTGTGTTCCGATGTAATTCACCGCACCGGAATTCGTCAACCGAATTGTTCAAGCAAACGAAATGAATATGTCACTCGCACAGGGTCCGGCGAATGTTATATGCAACTTCGTAAATGTATTGTTCATAGTGAGTTTGTTATCGAGCTTTATGCATGTCAGTTATTTAAACGGCCCTCGAAATGCATGTGTTATGTCCCTCCATCTTGCACTTTGCAACCTTCATTGCTTGTATCACGTGCGATAAATTGTTAGGTCGTTCGACATGAACATGTTCCATCGGGGTTGTAAAATTGTTTGCCACAAGGTGCTCCATAGAGCGAGAAACGGGACACGAACGAAATACGAAAACACACGACTGTGCAATCTCCGACAACGACGAAAACAAAAATTCAACTCGACTTTTTCGAAGTACACAAATGAATAAATGTTCCGAAAAGGTAAAAAAAACTGCATCGTCTGAACCCGTCTATCCGCTCGAAATGACAAAACACGACCCTCATATAAACCCAGCAGGATGTATTGACAACTGACAATACCGACACTAAACTTGTGTGCCCGTATCCTTGTCCTTCGACCAACCTTCATCTGCCTCAAAGTCTTGTCCAACACACCGGACGTTTTAAAATGGGTTCGGACACATAACCACACAAAAATCGAAAGAAGAGCACTACCGCCATGGGCATGGTTGCGGTGCCCCGTGGACTGCCACGTGGTGGCGCACGTGCTGCACCAGGCTGGCCCTTACGTGTTCCGCGAGTTCCCCCCCATAAGTGGGGTTATCCTCTTCTGAGGCCTTGATATTCAAGTCCGGAAGGTGACGGTTGAATCGACGGCGCCGCCTGCGTCGTCGACGGTTCCGATGTTCGTCGTTCTCTCCATTGCTGTTACTGCTATCCTCCATCAGCGCCGGGTCGATCTGCACGTTGTGCTCGATCATCAGGTTGTGAAGAATGCAGATGGCCATGAATTCTTTGCAGACTGTCTTCAGGTTGCAAATATGTCTTCAGATGAAGTTCCTCCAAACCGCCTTCAGACGTCTGAAAGCCCGTTCAATGCACGACCTCGCTGCACTGTGGCTCAAATCTAACGCTCGATCCGCCGGAGTTCGAGCAAAACGGCCAAAAGGAGTCATGAGTCATGGAAGAAGAGGGTACCCTTGATCACCCAGCAGATAACGCCCGACATGTCTACCGTCGTGTAACACAGCACCTCCCTCAGCCAACACTCCTCTACCCTCCGTGGCATTTGCGAACAATGGTGGCATGCGCAAAGCTCTCGAATCATGCACAGACCCCGGACAACCTACATAAACACTGCAAATCCGACACTCATGGTCACAAACGACTTGGGTCACAACCGAAAACCCCCCAGTGTGGTGGTAGTAGCATTCTGATCGCTCTCCCTTCGGCTTGTCAATATACAAATGCGTGCAATCTATCGCGCCTACACACCCGGGGAAGCCTTTTCTCTCGAAGCCATTTTGCACATCCTCCAACCGTTACCCTGTGGGGAACGGTAGCAGATGGCCATACTCCCGAATGATTGCGTTAGCCACTTCCTCGTTGCTGCGCAAAGCACTTGCAAGATGCCCAAACTGTGGGAGGACTGCCTGTAGTAACCGCCAGTGGCCCATCTCATCAATGCGCATGCAAACTTTTGTCCCGCGGGTATTGGCAATCTGTAGTTCGTGGGCGACTGCTGGATATGGGGGCTGACGCGACCAAGAACTTCGAAGAACAGGGGCCTCGGGAGTCTGCAGAACCGAAGGAAAACCTTGTCATGCTCACCCCCCACTCGCTGGAGATCCTTCCAAAGACCGCCGCTACGCTCCAGCACCCACAGACGACGTCTGCGGTCCATTGTCCTCCCCATCTCATCCACCGCCAACGAACACAGAGCAAAACCGTGCAGCATCCCCCCAGCCAGCAGCGTAACCGCAGCGGAGACATTTTGGAGGACAAAAGGCATCAACGATACCGCCTCCACAACTGCCAACGCCGCCACGTTTCGTCTGTTCACCCACTAGAAGAGGACGAAAAGCAGCATGCACATCGCATCCTCAGTTTCCTGACTATTTATCCAACATCCTGACTCCTCCATGGCCTTCGTCCACTACAACCTCCAAAACGTCCACTGACAGAGCTCAAAGCGATGGCCGCGTACCAACGTTTGCACAGCCACCCGCACCACAACACTGCGGGAACGCTGGATATGCACGAGTACCTCCCACGCAGACCCCGGGAATTTGAATTCCGGGGGTGAACTGCAACGGCACATCCCAAAAAAATGCCGTTGCTACTTCCGTCGCCTGTTGCCCCGGGGCGCCGCACCGGGACTCCGAAAACCATCGCGCGGTGCCGTGGGCGGCATCCACCGTCACACACGGACAAGCCAACCTGAAAGACCAGCATGTCCGCTGGTCCATCCAGGACGCCCGTTCTTTCCTTTTCGGGAGGGGACCCTCTCGAGTTTCCTAAAACGGCAAGCCGGGCCATTTTCCAAAAAAACGCCAGAAGTTGGCGGTGGGGTCTGCACGAATCGGGCCAAAAACTTTCCACTGACGTTGCCCACCTTTTCCAGCCGCTGGGTGGTGGGGTCCAAGCCTTAGTTCAAAACGGCAATAATAACAGTGCCTCCCGTGGAATCCACCCTGCCTGGCTGGCAGGGCGCTACAGGACCTGACAACAAAAAGCAAACAAAAAAAAAACGACATGTCTCACGGTCCTCACATACTGG